TGCGGGACACGATAGCGTCAGCCAAAATACCTTGCTGCGCCTTCTGATGACGAGCTGCCGCTCTCAAGCTCCTGCTTTGAAAATATATAAGCTTTATTAAGTGCTCGCAGCCTTGTCTTTTCTACTCGAATCCGCCCGAGGCGCACGAGATAACAGGGACTGGTGCAAGTTGCCTCAAAACGACGTCTGGAACACGCGAGCGTCGTCCCCCGACGCGGTGGTTGAGGCAGAGGCGTGGAAAGACGGCTAACTAGGCGGGATCTGGCGCTTTTCTGGTTACCTCGTGGGCGTGGGACAGAACCGAGTGCAAAAGACATGACTGCGATCGCGAAATGAAGCGCAGGAGCAAAGCGTGGTCCTTGAGAGCGGCGTCTCGTCGTCATAAGGCGCAGCGGTGCATTTCGGCGGGCGCTTCCTTGTCCCGCAACCTTTTGCAACTCACTGTACTTCTCATTGTATTCCGAGTTTTAAACAGTCTTATATTGCAAGCATAAGTGTAGAGGTGTGTCTTGTGTCTACCGTATTTTGTCTTTGAGCGTCCTGACCGACGAAAGGAAGCATTTTTAGCTAGGCATGCTTCTCGTTTTTTTTACTACAAAGTCAGGAAACAAGACCTGCTTTCGACCGAGGTACCTCGGCACCTTCAATCGTCCATAAAAACAATCGTCGGTTACAAATTCCTTTTTACGAGGCAAAAATTAAATGAGTGCCTGTGTTCTGGGTAGGGCCACGTTTCTTATGTGTACGTTTTGTAATTATTCTCTTACACACGGTTGGAATTGAAACACAGATCCTAGTGTGCCAGAGATCAGGACGCATAAAGAGGAGGATCAGCACTCAAGGTAAATACGATGTTAATACTTTTCGAAACACGGCAATATTTCTAAGCCCCGCTAATGCAAAGAAACAAATGTCTCGCATGAACATTTAGCCAAGTGAATGTAAAATCAATTACAAGCCACCGTAAAGGTTCCTTTTCCGAGTGTCTTCGTTGAAAAAAACGAAAGGACAAGCAAGTGACATATATTAAGGTTTGAGTCTACTGCAAAATCACCGAGCTAAATGTGCATTCACGTGGGTTTTTTAAAAGACGTATGGGTAGCAAAAGATGTCAAAGAAAATACTGTTTTGTAAAACTCACTAAACAGTTAAGCCGTTCCAATTATATATTGTTTAAAAAAACTTCTGATATCGTAAACAGCATCGTCAATAAAATGGTATTTATCTTCGTCGGTATACTCATCGTCTTCTACAAATTTATGCCCAGCCCGGACAAATAGAATCTGAGCCCGTTTGCTAAACCAGCACCTCAGCTGAGACTGCGCGAAGAATAGCCTGACAAGCCTTGGATGCGTGAGAACTTAAAACCCGATTTCACGTGCCACGTCCCACTGGGAGCACTGTTCTTTGGGACAAAACTAGGTCTTGGGGTCGAAATTTATTGCATTCAAAAACTTGAAGAAGCGACAAAAAAGACTCGAGGAACATTTATAAGCACTTCTTATGAGTTGTGAATGCGAAAGCATGCATGTCGCTCTTCCGCTCCCTTATTTCGTCCGCGACGTACTGGGGTGGATGGCCTAACGCGCGCTCTGCTCGTCGCGCTGACCTTGGGCGTGGAGCCGCTCCGTAGCTCGGCAGCCAGACGCTTTGTGTCACCGGCGCGCTAGCGCCGCGGACACGCAGCGACATGGGGTGGCGGTCATCTAAACTGACGCACAGTGTCAGTTTCGATGACTCAAGGATGACTCAGTTTCGATGACTCAGTTTCGATGAGCACAAGGACGTAACGTTCGTTCGGATACCACTATTTCGTCAAATCTATGAAAACGAAAAATAATCTATGCACAAGAAAAAGATTTCGGGACGTGAGCCCATAAAACCTCTGATGTTAGAGATATGACACGCAGCCGACCGACAACCTTGATCAGAAGCCCGCCGAAACGTCGAACCACGACCGGCCGAACACGCCACTTCGCTTCGCCCATAGAGGCTTCGCCGAGGTTTCATGAACGATCGCTCTCGACTCGTTTTGTTTGCCCGCTTGCTTCAACCTGTCGATCCTGCCCGGGCTCTACAATGTCTTATGTTTTAGTAGAATTTCTACTCGACAAGACCCAGCCTGTTGTGAGTTCCGACGATGTAAGGGACTTTAGCGGTGTAGTTGAAGACGACAAGGTGTACCAGGTCTACTGGACCGGAGACGCGTGAACAAAAGGATCGTTCTACGACGCGATAGTACTCTACATGGCAGGTGAGTAGAACTGAAGTACGGCGAGTGATGTGCGAGTGCTTTGCATAACATGCTGAAAGCTTAACTGCATTTGCAGCCGAAGCATCTCGAATAAAATGAGTGGTCAAATCCAGTTTCCACAGCGGTGACATAGCATAGGGGTCAAGGTGTCCGATTTGTATGCAGGTGGTCGCGGGTTCGATCCAGCGGTAATCCTGCTTTTTTGTTGTTGTTTTTTTTTTTTTTAACATTGTTTTATCGAGGCATTTGGCGATATTTATGAGTGCGTATAGCTTTACTCTTACATAAATGCTGCCCTTGTTGATAAAATTCCCTTGGCAGTGGCAGTCAGACGTCATCTGATGGACCATCAGATGACGTCTGATGGTCCATCACGTTCCACCAAGGCTGCTGACTGGCAGTCAGTGTCCCGAATTACGTAGCTTGATGGAATTTTCAGTAGGGTTCTTTGATCAGAGTATGCGTATATTGGCTCTGATTCACCGAACAAGTTCGAAAATTATGTTTCTGTGCTGTTAGTTTGGCTGTCGTCTAACATCTTTGGAAATAAATTGCCAAACAAATGCAAAAATCAGGCATAAATTTGTTGATTTACTCCTGGGGGTTTATGTGGCAACTTTGGATTTTAATTGCCAAAAAGTGTCAAATTTAGGCTTTCTTTTTTTTCGGTCCATACGTGGCATATTTGACAGGCACTTTGGCAATTACGTGGCAAGCAAAATAAAAATCATACAAAACGCAAAAGAAAAGTACTTTGGCACTAACTAACGCCTTGAAGAAAAAACTTTCAATTTTTCAACTTTGCTGAAGAAGGAAGGGCAGCGGCGCTGTAGCTTCTGTTCTTGGCGGTGGCTTTCCAGGCAAGCGATCTGCTCTTCTTTCGCAGGGGATTCTGAAGCGCTCGACGAAGTCGAAGTTGAGGCAATAGCGAGTTTTAGTAGACCGTGTTTCCCGCTCCGCTAAGCCCCTCCGCTACCCGGAACTCTACAGCCAAGGCCATCGGCGCGCAGGCGCAGTGGCGGTTTCTTCGTAGCGGAGGGCTAGCGGAGCGGGAAACACGGTCTACTAAAACTCCCTATTAGCGGCCTCGCGGCGGTTGCAGAACCATTCGCGCTGCTCCGCACGTCACCGTCGTCGTAGATATGACACCGAACTCCGGACAGCTACCGCCATCTATGAGCGACGGCGGCAACCAGCTGGTTGTCTGGTTGCCGCCGTCGCTCATAAGTGGCGGTAGCTGTCCAGAGTTCGGTGTCATCATTTTTTTTTGCTGGTGGACACAATCCTGGGGAAATTAGCCCTTAACAGCTTTGCTGTAAAATTGTATTAGGCCGATATTAGTAGGCCCCAGAATTGTCAAGCTTGCGCCAAGTTAAACTTTTCCTAGCGTCTTATCGACTCCGTTTATGTCTTAGTTCTGACAGTGCATTCGTTTACGCAGTCTTAGCTTGTTCTATAGGAACCCCGCCCTGAGGCTGGCTTGCTAGAAACGGCCGGGACATCGTCGCCCGCCGATCTAGGCAGCGACGGTGATCTAGGTGCCGATCTTGGCACCCAATACGAACCTACATATTAATCTATCTTGTATTAAACTGCATTTTCAGTTTTACTAGTTGTATGATTTGCGTAATTCTGAGCAGTCCTCAGTGTGTTAAGTGTGCTAAGTGTGTTGCGTTTTAGTTTCCTTTTGTGCTTTTCATGTATTTGCGTTTGTTTATTGTATAAATCAAGGGTGGCCAAGCTGCGGCTCAAGGGCCGCATGCAGCTCTTCACGCGTTAAACTGCGGCGCCTTTTCTACTGCCCCCTCCCCCCGATCCCCCGCCTCCCTTTAGGTCACACGAGCGCTTCCCCAAAAAGAGAAATGGAACGCCATTTATATCGAAAGAAGGGTTGCGGTTTAGTAGTCTTGTGCTACTGCTACCTTACGTACAATCGGACTGCTTTTGACTCGCATAGATTAAAAGCAGTTCGAGTCTCGTTTATTGCTCCGGTCAAACGTTTGACCCCCCCCCCCCCCTTCCCCCCTTTGCTGCTCTTGGAAGTTTTGTGGTTTTTTTTCTGCGGTTTAGGCCGGGTCAGCCTGGCCACCCCTGGTATAAATCTTGAATATTCCCCCTTATGTAATGCCATTCACGGGCCCTTAAGGTAAAAATAAATGATTGAAATGAAATGACGGTGCTAACGTCAGGCGCAGCACTGATCAATCGCGGCAAGTAGCGAATATTCGGTTTCTTGATCCCGCAGAGTGCAGCTGAAGTCTGCATACTGACCGGACTCGGCAATAATTGCCTTAAAAAAAAACACCTGTCTCTGTCTTGCAAGGCGCGTAGTACATATATATTTTCGTTAGACGATTTCAACGTCGGTAATCAAGGTTAATTCAGACGTTCCCATTTTTCTGAACTAACTCATCAAGAGATGAACAAGCGCCTATGCGCTACAGTTTTATCCATCGTTTGTGTTGCATGTGGTTCAAGTGATAATTATTCATGTCTCAGTTTACACGCGAAACTGAAACCTGATCATTGCTTGTGTCTTGTTGAAACGCGGTATGGTCTCTGCCTTGGTGTGTGTGTTTAGCCAGCAGCTATGCACTGTGTTCCTCAAAACAATTTCTAATTAAGCCTGCTGCATTTTGAAATTTTCAGTGATTTCTAACATTCTACATACACCCCCAATGATTACGCAATGTAATCAAAGAAAACCATGAAAACCATAATTACCAAAGCATTTGATCAGACTCACCTTAATTTCTACCATCGGATATGGGAATCCAATGCCATACCACTTGGATGCACCGTAGGGGGGTCTACAGATCCCGATTGCTTCCGTAGTTCCATAGGAATTTTTGATGACAGCCACGCCAAACGACGGTTCAAGTTGCCTCAGAAGCTTATGTGTCACAGAGACACTGCAAATAACGATGTTCTTCAGACTTTCCAGCCGAATTCCTTTTTTCTCCATCGCCTTGGCAAGCAGCACCATTCGGGGGCCACTCCCTGCCACACAAGTCACCTGCAGCAACGGGAAAAGAAGATTTCAACTAAGAGCCAATGAATAAGCTTGTGAGTAACAACACTTCTACTGCATTCGAGAGAAAAGAATCAATGTTGTCATCTGTCACCAACATTAGTTAACGTGCCTGACGGAAGTTGCAAGTACCTTTGGTAGTCCTGCTTCAAATTCCGTCTTGTGTGTGCTCATACAGGCGTAATTTAGTCAACCCCAATGCACGCTTGGTGTCTCATGTGCAAACTCGAAATTAAGCCAGTACAGTACAACCGCTAGACTGGGAGCGTTAAAGTGCCCCACGCACTTATAATACTCTACCAAACGCCGGTAAGGTGCTCACCCAGATCGAAACGGGCAGTGGTGGCGAATGAACCAAGGATACCGTGCTTCTATAGCACGAGCTTTCGCTCCATTTGCTCCGAGCAGGTGTGCGCTAACCCACTGGGCCACCGTTCCCCCTGCTTGGTAAAACAGTTGACAGCAGAGCAGAATGATACAACTAATGTTGAGGAAGATAGAGTTGGGCGTAAAACGTTTTTTTTTTTTTTTTTTTCATCAACAGAGCGCCAGCCGAACCAGTGGCACACACCATGTCTTCGATCGACAGTGTGCTCACACAGCTCGGTCACAAGCTAAACAGCAAGCTGGGAGTTTTCAATGCCCGCTTTCGCAAAGACCGCCGCCCGGCCAACACCGGCACCATCAACGCCTGGAGCCCCACCAGGGCGGTCCTGAACACCCTGCGTCGCCGGAAATTTGGCTGGCTCGTCTGCAAGCTGGACACGCTGGGAGCCCCCACCAGGCGCTCGAGACTGGCGTGCTAGAGGTGCGCAGCTAAAGGCGGCCTCTCCAAGATCACCATCGCAAAGACCATTGCAAAGACTATAGCTCTTCACCATTTCCACCATGCCATTATCGTCATCATCATTATCCTACACATCATCATACTGATCATCATCACTATAATTCACATGATTCATCTGTACAACATTTCATCATCATTAGAAGTGGCGCCGCAGACCTTCACAGTATGGGTGACTGGCCTTTTCGTGGCGCCGCGGCTCTCCTGAGCTCAAGGAAATATCATTATCAATATCAGCTATAATCTCCTAACTGTACAAATATATAGCTTTCTGTGGCATCTTCCAAGGGAGGAAGTTTGCACCTCTGCTGCGTTTAACGTATGTAAACAAGACAGGTTCGACTGCACCAACTTGCGCTCCAAGTTAAGACTGCTTGCGTCCAGCTGTTGCTATGGCGATTTTTGCGACAAGCCAATGGAGAGGTGCTGTGCAGAACGTCGCAACGCATCGCAACGAAGTCGATGCAACTGTGTGAAGAGTCTTTAAGCTTGCGCGTAAAACGCACATGATTCCACTTAGATGCGTTGTTTCATTTAACAGCGATATTAAAGCGATAGCTATTAGCGAGTTTTGGAATAGCGCACGCTAAAGCTTTGCGTATGCAGAAAATAACATCGTCGCCACTGCGCATGCGCCGATCGCTAACAACGTTTCGCGCTTTCCGTGCACCATTTTAGCGTACAATATTTCTCGGAAATTGCGTGCGTACGCAAAGAGTCTTTGCGCTCCTCCAAGCAGTATTCGGGAAAAGAAGTTGGCTAAAGTCAAGACGAGCACAGCTAAAAAATGGCGGCTCCCAGAATCATGTCTGCGGCCGCTTTGGCGGTGTCGTCGGTGTTGTGAGCGCGACGTCGGCGGCATCCTCGCGACTGCGATTTTCAATGCGGGACCACATTGCACTCGGTTTGACAACGATCACCGGCAACTTGATGCTTGCGACGCACAAACATTTTTCGGCGAAGGCACGGTGTGCGAAGGTCAGTACACGATACATCTCTTGCCGAGGCGACGCAAGTGGACACGACCAGTCGACCGCTCACGTCGGATTTCACGTTTAAACAAATATAAAATGTTACTCTGGACCAAAACACTCGTTTCTTCTCAAGTTACAACATTTCGTGTGTGAAATAAAAATTGTAACCGTAGCTTGGTGGCGTTGCAAGCGCGAGATGCCTGGGTTTCTGTGTCGCGGCAAAGAAACGCTATTCTAAAACTCTCTCGCGTAGCGTACACCAACGCCAGCGCTAAATTTAGCGCTAGTGTGCGCTAAAGTTGCGAAAGTTACTCTAAAACTCCCCATTAGTGGGACGCTTCGTGGGCTTCGCGCCGTCGACCGCACTTCATACCAACACGGGACATTTTCAGCACTCCACTCAAAGATGCTGCATTGACGTCACGCCGCTTACGTCACGCCGCAAATCACGTCACCTGTTACCTGGCAACAGCTGACACTATGACGTGGCATTTTTAAGTCACGTTGCACGTTGCGTTGCGACTTAATGACGCCAGGTGTCACCATTAGTCGCCTGATGTTATGAGGTCACGTTATGCAGTGACGCCACATGACATTCAGACATCACATGACAACATGACGGCACGTAAAACTTGACATGAGAATGATAAAAATGGAAACCATAAAAAATATATATATTTTTTTGTAATTATGCCAGAAAATTTCTCGGGCGATAAAAGCAGTAAAGATAGGTGAGTGTTCAGCAGGCAAATCCACGAGAGACAAATTACGTGAAGCTACAACGCTTGAAACTTGTGTGCGTGATTTTGGTAGTGTTCTTCAGTAACCACAAGGCTGTGTTGTTTGTGTGCAATACCATTGTATAAGACGTTCAGGCAGTCACACCAACGACAGGGAACGGTTCATGCGTATACACGTACTTTCACGAATTTCTGGATTTCAAACTTGGGCGCGCGGCTTTCGAAGTGTTCTTTAATTACCATGAGGCAGTCCTAGCTTGTGTGTCCAATAAAAAAATTTTAACAGGTTCACCAAACTCCCTCTACTTAATGCACCATCATTGGTTCCAAACATTTTTGGAAGTTTCATCCGCTGTGTTACCCCGTTTATTACGAAACGTCTACGCGAACTCTATGGTGCGCGCTTGCAACTTTACCGTTCATTCGGACCATCTGCTCCGAAATGACACATTCGCGACACTGAAGTCACACCTCAGCTGTCACTCTGTTTCACCTTATTAAATGCGCACGTGCCTACCAATTTTTTCATGTGTCACACCAGTTGGAGATGCGAGAGGTGTCATGTTGCAATGCCCTGCAATCGCTCGTATTTCTTTTTCAATGAATGTGTAATATTATAAAAAAGAGAAAAAATTGAAAGTGGCCTTCTAAGAGACTCCGCTTATGACAGCGACGTGGTACGAACACTCGTGATGAAAACAGATTGCATTCTTTTGGGACACATAAACGGTTAGCCAAGCCAAACTTTTTGTCAGAAGTGTCTAGCGTTGGAAAGGTTATTGGCAATTAGTATAGAAGAAAATGTGCTTCCCATACCTTGTACTTTCTCAGGGAGTCTAGTATTTCCTCTGTACCAGTTGATTTGGAGAGAAGAACAGTCTCCGCTCCATAAGAACATTTTGTCAGAAAAAACGTAAACCCAGCAACCGCTGTGATCGGTATCCAGGAAGCAAAAACCTCTTGACAATCGCAAGTTTGAGGATACCTTAAATGTTAAAAAAAAAAAGCTCATGAGCCGCGTCGTTCACAAAGATGATGGTCTGTTCACAGATTGAGCTCGGCGAAACCTTAGCGCCAAACGTGCGTTCGAAGTAACACCAAACTTAGCGTTTATTAAACATTTACGGATACGTGTTTGGACAATGTAAAGTTGGTGTGGCTTCAAAGTGCGTGAACTCTAGTTTACGCCGTAGACAAGGAGTATAATTACTGCACCAGGAGGGCTTGCCCGCTGTGTTTAACGTGCATCTTGCAATCGTAGTACACGACCGCACACCGGTATGGTGCAAAATACCAAAATAATTTAATTGCCGATTAGAAGAAGCTACGATTTAAGAGTTTCTCAACCGGTAGTTTTATTTTTTCCGGCTATTTACCTTTAGTATAGTTTTGCCTAAACTAGTTCCTTTATTCTTGTCGCCCAGTGCAACTACGCGTCATATATATTCCATACTTTTATGGCAACGCTCAGAGGAAGACGTGTTATAGACACTATAGATCTGACAACTCATTCATTATGATGCTATATTTCGAGTCATTGCGTGCTGTTCCAACATCGCAAGTTTCGCTCGCCACGTTTCGTGACGCTAGAGTAACTGAGAGATTGAGATCGGGAGAGAGATACTTCCGGCTGTCTTTCCAGCGTGAGTTTCCTACCTCCAATAACACTTCGTTGACTCGCAAGCCTCGAAAGTGTACGCACAGCAGAGGCACTGGTGGAGGGAACGCGCACATGCTGAGGATCCGGTATCCAAAAAGCCATTCCCCTTCCCACAAGGGGCACTACGCGGCTTGCACGCGACGTTATAGGGCCATACTTGTTCTCCTTCCTGCTTTCTCTTGCCAAGAAAAAAAATCCATGACGCAAAATGTACGCATCAAAAGATACACATACTGAGCAGAAAGGCCACCACGGAGGAAGCTGATGTGATGTTAGTGCGAACGGCGTATAGCTAAATGAGGCGTTTCTGCTTAATATAACATTTTTGTCCTGGAAATTGGCGCGGAGCTTTTCCAGCTGATCTTAAATTGCAACCGACTATGGTCACTGGGGAGGCGACAAGGGCAGTGAGAAGCTTCAGTTGTCTCCAGCGCGACCGTTCTACCTTTGATAGTGCTTTGGCGTCTCATGCACTTCGAGCGCGCGAGCAGCCAAAGCAAAACAGAAGGCAACGAGCACATGCTTCAGGCCGGGCGTTCCAAAGGTATGCCCCGCCGTTTTCATCCTGTCAGCCAGGCACGTAGTCAGGGGGGAAAGGCAATGAAATTGCCCCCCCCCCCCTAAATCTTTCATTTTGCTGGGACCTCCTCTCCCCCCTCCCCCTCATACAGCATTTTGTCATGGGTGGGACCCCCCTCCCCCCTTCCCCCCCGAAACAAAATCCTGGCTACGTGCCTGCTGTCAGCAACTATGAAGTGTAGTCAAACTAACAGGTAACCCGCGTGCGAGCGCATAATTACAAATTGCAGAACTAACCCGGGCCGGGGCAAAATTGCCACGAGGCTGTAATGCGTGTGCTCGACGGCCTTCGGTCGACCCGTTGTTCCCGATGTGTACAAGTGCACGACCACTTCGTTCTTGGCGTCCTCCGCAGGCAACTCTTCGTATGAATCTTCCTTCAGCTTCTTGAACTCGGCCACGGAGACAAATCCCGGGGCGGTTCCTGTGGTGAAGCAACCCTGAAAGCATCGAACCGGTAATTAATCGCATTCTCTTGGCTTTCGAGCCCTTGTGCGTGGTCGGTACATTATGGGAAACAAAACACCACCTCGTCTGAAACAAAAAGAAAACTTGATTACATAAACCGCACTTACAACTTTGAGCGCTTTTTTGTATTTGTTTTATGACGATTTTCAAGTCAGGACGGTAAGCGATGCTGACGCGTGCTGGGCGGAGTTGGGAACGCAGCTGGCTGCTACTCGGGGACACGGAGTTCACGTACCAATTGGGCCAGTCCTTTTTGTTATCAATGCTTGCTCTTCTAGAAAGTGCTAGCCCATTTTCGACTGTCATTGAGTGTTCTGATTCAGAAAAATCCTAACCGCACCGCGTTACAAATGCAGCAGTAGCAGTCAACCTTCTTTCACCGACTCAAGATGATGGTACCTCCTTTTTTAAATTTGGGGAAAGTTCTCGTCATCAAACGTTTAATTTAAGTTGTGAATTATTCCGCTTGTATTATTCGTTATAAAATATTTTTTTAAAAAACGCAGACCCGTGACATCGCTAAAAAGGCGAATTCAAGTTATAGTAACTTTTAAGATTTCAGGAATCTCCAAGACGCTAAAAGTAAGAATAATAGTGAGATCTCTCAGAGTTACAGCTATTAATCGAAAACGAGCCAACGAGCCTCAGCCCCCAATGCGTGGCAAATTTATAAATGCTCCAACGTTTAGTTCTGCTTTTGCCTATTCACGAAGTTTTTGCCGAACGTAAATGCTTTGATAACTCCGCATGTATACAAACGGCCAAAGCTTTGCAGTCGGGTTACTACACTGTTAGAAAATTCCATCAATCTACGTGGAAAAACCGAATAGAACATGTCCCGTTTTCTGGAAATGCATACAATGTGCTGTTTGCTTTCAAAAACGGGAACTGTACCATATGCATTGAAATGTGCTATTTTGGCAATAAGTATGAGCTTATCCGTATAAATAAAAAAAGCCTTACAAGACTACAGTTTATAGTCGGTTCAACTGGTATAAGCGGATTGAACGCGTTCAAAAGTGCCGGATATCCAGCAATTTTTATGGAACTCTATCAGACCGCGGAAGTACAGTGCCCGTGAGCCGTGTTACGCCACGCGCAGGAAGACATCTCTCACCCGCGCATGCGCAAGCCGCTGCCGGCCGGTGTGGGCCCGCGAGCTGCGGAGTGCTGCTGCCCGTTCGGAAGGCGAGTTCGACGTTGTTATCGCGTCGTGAGAGGCGTTCAGCGGTGCGTAGACGGCTTTGTTTTCCGAGGTACGTATACGTTAAGTTGTTCCTAACGCAGTGTTATTTTACTATCTCTAAGGGTGTCGTATATTCCAAGTTCGGGATGCCCAGCGTGTAGCGTCTCGTCTTCCCAGCTGCATAAAGCTGGCGGCATACTGCCCGACCCTACTTAGTATTGATGGTATGCTGCGCTGCGTAGTTACGCGGAAAAAAACTGGAGAAATGAAGTTAATGCAGAAGGACAGACAAAAACATGCATGAATTGGCGCAGACTAACAACTGTTTAATTTCTTTCTCTTTTTTCTCCCCCGACCCGTATTTCCAAAATTGCGGCTAAGAAAACGAATGGTTGATGTCTTGAATTTGTTGGCTTCTGAACTTGATGGTGTTTGCTGTAGCTGCCTCTTTGATATACGAACTGGATGGTGTGTTTTTTGTAGCGTTTACCTGGGGCCTGATGTTTGCTCCGACAAGTTTGGTATCTTATTGAGTAGATCTATTTCTTCTTGTCGCAAAGCTAGTGATAGCTCACTGACGCACGCTCCGTGTCTACCCGAGGCCATGTGAAAAGCCTCGATTATTTCACGCTTTGTTCTGTCCTTTGATCTGGCCAAGATGGAAGTAGTGTCAAGGAGAGCTTTGCAGTTGCATTTTGAACAATGCGCTGCAAGGTTGCCAGGTGCTTGCAGTTGTCCGCATGCATAATTGTGCTCCCTTAGTCTCTCGTTAAGGCATCTCCCAGTCTGCCCGACGTAGGATCTTCCACACGACAGTGGTATTTTGTATACCACACCTTCGACACATTCAACAAATTTGCTCCTGTGTTTCACTTGACACAGTGCCTTGTTGTTAGTCTCGTCCACTTCATTGTTGACCCTCCTGCATAATCCTTTGAGCCTGAAAGGGGCAGATAGTGACACTCTGACTTCGTACCTTGCGGCGATGTTTTTTATCCTGTGTGAAAAATTGAGCACCAACCACCACGCACACACACACGTCCCGCTAACGTCACGGGCGCGTTGAGACTTGTTGCCGCAGGCCCCGTCACGCAGGCGACGGTCCCGGACTCGTCGGGACTCGTTTCGCGCAGGCCCCGACAAGCGGGCGACGGTCCCGGACTCGTCTTGACTCGTTTCCGCAGCGTTGAAACTCGGAAGAAGGTCGCCGAAGGTTCCATTCTTAACAGCGCTAACAGTGTCGTGAAGCGTATGTGAAATCACAATTGCCATGCATGCGTCAGTGAGCCATCACTAGCTTTGCGACAAGAAGAAATAGATCTACTCAATAAGATACCAAACTTGTCGGAGCAAACATCAGGCCCCAGGTAAACGCTACAAAAAACACACCATCCAGTTCGTATACCAAAGAGGCAGCTACAGGAAACACCATCAAGTTCAGAAGCCACCAAATTCAAGACATCAACCATTCGTTTTCTTAGTCGCAATTTTGAAAATACGGGTCGGGGGAGAAAAAAAAGAAAGAAATTAAACAGTTGTTTCTCTGCGCCAATTCATGCATGTTTTTGTCTGTCCTTCTGCATTAACTTCATTTCTCCAGTTTTTTTCCGCGTAACTACGCAGCGCAGCATACCATCAATGTCAAACCAACTAGCCCAACTCCAAGCATTCATTATTCCTACTTAGTAGTTGGGCACGAGGAGGGCACAGTTTTCGCAGTACTCCCGTGCCAAGCCGCTGTCAACATGCGTGCTTCAGCGCGTCGAATTAAACTTGTTTCGCCGCCAAGTTCAACCTCACATGGTTCAAAGTTTAGCGCTTGATCGGGGAGGGGGATGGGGCAATTGGAGGATGAGGGAAGATTGGATTAGAAGGCGTGAACATTGGTCAGTTATGTTTTAAGGAACGAAGTATTTTTATAAGGTCGAAAGCGTAATATATTCTCAATACAGCGTTTGAGAAACGGAGCTTGTTTTTAACTTTCTTTGTTTAAATGCGTCTGAAAGCATAATGGAGAACTGCGTTCGTCTGCTACTCGACCGTGTGAGCGATCTCTGCAGCTTGCTAAATATGCGGTGAAATAAGGGTGGCACCTGCTTGATGCAGAGAAATAGTGCAGGCTTTTGCATCTTAGGAATAGTAACGCATTATGGTGCGATATTTTGAGTCGCCCAGTAAACTTATCCGCGTTGAGCCAGTAATCAATCATCGTCGTGGTAATACTCGTGTGCGTGCCGCGGATGCTCCGGGCGTTTCGCGTACTAAATTAATGCCATTTTTTCAGGACTGATATTTCCTAAATAACTTGAGCTTCTGATAAACGAATTTACTTCGAAATTACCCCGGTCGAGTTGAAACCTTTATTGTAATAGGTGGTATTCACTGGACGCCACATCGGAGCTCTCTGAACGCTGCGCATGCTCAGAGTGAACTCCCGCTTATGGCCTGAGGACACCCTTTCTATGCAGAGTAATGCTACATGCACGACGTCGTGCAGCTCAACCGGAAGTGGCTGTACGCACGACGCGCGTTGATGTTCTTTGATTGGACGACCCGAATCCTGGCCATAGTGGCAGAGCTTCGCTCTGCGAATAAAAATTACTGTAGAGCCCCTCAAACAAATATTTTCGCCCCATCATGACCTAACCAACCTCGCAATTCACGAGCTTGCTCGTGAATATGCGACCAGAGTCGCGCATTATGCATGCAGCCTCACACATTGAGGAGCATGCTCGTGAATTGTAATTGAATTTTAAATGTCAAGTTCACTTTTTTTATTTTTTTGAGGATGGGATTTGACTTGTTTTCATCGCTTATCAAGTTCATTCACCTCAACGGAGTGCGATTTCTCCTTGTGAATTAAAGGAAAATACTGTATATATCACCGGAATAAAGCGATAAAACTCATGGATATATATGTTAACCGGAAGAAACTGAGAATCTCCTCCACAGATAAAAACTGAAAAGGTGTGCCATGTTTGAAAACAATTATAACTCCCGAAGTCCTAGGTATTAATGCTCTCAAACACAGTTAAAATCATAAACGTTCGGTTCAGCGTTCCTTTATGACTAAAAAAATCGACTTTTTTTCAGGCAGAAGCATCTTCGACTGCCACTGGATGGCACCCGGTGCTTCGAAGGAGTCAGCTTCCTCTCTGCCATGGAGCTGATGTACGCCACATACCTAAAGTACCCTGCTGAGCTGCTAGCAGCGTTGAAGTTCGTTTAGAGGTAACTATAGATGTGCCTTTCAGTTATGAAAATGTGCGCTGTGAATTTGCTTTGGAAAAATGTATCGTATGGACAGTTCTAATTCCTTCAGGTGGTAGAATTGTCTAGTGGATATTGCATTTCATGAAGAAATAAATAGGCGACGTTTTTGTCTGGGAAGCAGCGATAACTGCTAAATACTTTTTGACAGCGTTAATGACATAATAGGCCGTTAACAATAAATTATGTAGCTAATCTGTTATCGTGTCCTTGCCAACATCCTAAGCAGTTTGGCATACTTTTGAATGATGGTGTGCTCTTCAACGTATTTCCGGCAAAGCCAATTTGGCTCAAAATTAGAAATTTCGAAGACTGTAATCGACTTATTTTTCGCAAGAACCTAATTTTCGCAAATCGCCTACAAATTGAAAAAAAAAGGTCCTGCGAACAATTCTGGTAAAATATAAACACATTGGAAACTATATTGAGATCCCACCGCATCGTGAAAATTAGAACCCGCAAATTATTCCAAAACTTCAACTTTGACCTCAATCGGGAAATATTGAGCCCTCGAAA